CCCCCCCGCCCGTAACCGGGAATCAAACTCATGACCTCATACTTGCCAGGCAGGCCCTGTGCCACTGAGCTAAATCCCCAACCCCGATCCCTGCTTTTAAAGAATCAAGTGTGGTAGAGCATTAGGAGTCAGGCTGATTTTGAATTAACTTTATATCATGAGGAAGCAAAACTACAAACTCTATTTTTTTGTGTGGGGGGGCACAGGGAATCAAACTCAAGACCTTGTGCTTGCCAGGCAGGCAGTGTGCCACTGAGCTACATTCTTGGCCCTAAGAAACTCTAAAAATAAGTATGATTGCAAAGAGGAGGACTCCAAGCCCAGATGACCGGGGAAGGCATTGGAAAGCTCACATCAAGCTTCAAGCTTGGAGTGACAGGGTTTCTGTATGTGAAGCTATCGTACAGCATTCCAGCCCAAGGATATGATAAAAGCAAAGGTCTAGAGTTAGAAAAGCATGATATATGTTCTGCGAATCTAAATTAGTTTAGCTGGAATATGAAGGTTTATGTTCCATTATTTTGGAATAATGGGAGGAATTTCAGGTTTCCATATTCTAGGCCAGGTTGCAGAATGTATGTTACCTAAGTAAATTTATTCAGAATTTTATTGTTGTTTTGTTTTTTTTTTTGGTTTTTCTCCGGTACCGGGAACCGAACTCACGACCTTGTGCTTGCCAGGCAGGCGCTTTGCCGCTGAGCTATATCCCCAGCCCCAATTCAGAATTTTATTTTATTTTATTTATTTTTTTTTTTGGTTTTTCTCCGGTACCGGGAACCGAACTCACGACCTTGCGCTTGCCAGGCAGGCGCCTTTGCCGCTGAGCTAAATCCCCAGCCCCCAATTCAGAATTTTAAAAGTTCTGAATTTACTCAGGCTACAACAGGGAACATGTAGAGTTTGTCAATAAGAATACTGTAAGATTTTTCTGATGTTTTAATTAGATTGAGGCAGGAAGGAAGGAGAGTTTGGAGACAGAAAAATGGTTAGTAGTCGATTAATGGGAATTTTAATTAAAAACTGGTTATGGATAGTAATAGAAAGGGGTGAATGAAGGAGGGCATTTAAAACTAAGATATTTGTGTATTGGAATGTTATTATTTCACCCATTTATTCAGCAAGCATTGCATGACCATGATGTGCCAAGTACTGTGGAGACAGTAGTGATCAAAATTTTCATTTTCATCTCATATCCTTTACTTAGTTTACTCAGTAGGGAATTTACAGTATCTTTTGAAATGTGTAATTCTGTATATGACCATTAAAGTAGAGGACACAGAAGTGAGTATGAGCACATATGAGCATCCGTGGACACTTAATCGTCCGTGTTATACTTCACTGAAAGCAAAATACCAGTATTATCATCCTCAGCTGAAATACTGCTGGGAAGTTAAGCATGCTGTTACACACCTGTAATCCTAGCACTTAGGAGGCTGAGGCAGAAGGATCTGCAAGTTCAAGGCCAGCTTGGGCTACATAGAGAGTTCAAGGCCAGCCTGTACTGCATAGTGAGACCTTGTCTCAAGAAAAAAGAAAAAAATACTGTTGGGAGAGTTGGCTAGTGTGAAGTCAAGCAGATACCTCTACCTGAGTTTTTGCTTCCTTTACTAACCTGGATCTGACAAATGCCCTCAGGAAAATTGACAAGGAAATCTTTGCTTTTTTGTCCTTTCGTTTGGGCTACATCCTATGTGACCCTATTTTTAGACATCTGCATTAGTACTGACGCGATAATCCTGTTATTGCTGTGTTATCGCACTGTGAGAAGTGTTTGCAGATCTTGGTTCTTCACTTCATAAGGTCATTTTGAGTGTGTGTAACGTTAGGGACCGAGTCCAGAGCCTCACGCGTGCAGGGAAATTACTACTGAGTCACATCTTCAAAATTATTGTTCTTTCAAGGCTCTTGGGCCGAGGATATAGCTCAGTGGCACAAGAGCCTGTCTGGAAAGCTCAAGGTCCTGAGTTCAATTCCTGATACAGAAAAAAAAAAAAAATCAAGGTTCTTAACACACAGAAATGAAATATATAGAAATTATATAGCAGTAAGAATAGAAAATCTTGTTGGAAACCAGAGTACTGGATATAACCATGCAGACGATGGAGGCTGATTTTATCTTAAAGACAAGATTTCAAAGGTCAGCCTGTACACATTGTGAGTATTGTTGTCTCTGTAAGGGAAGGTTTTCTAGTGGAAAGATCCCATCTCCCACAATTTGGGGATACCTGTGGTCTCAGTTGCCACCTACAAAGGACAACAAAGAAAAGATCAGATGTTCTTGGAAGTCAGCCGAGTCAGGGCAGCTTCCCTGAAGCCCTTACTTCCACATCATGGTAGTCTGCAGGTCAAATTTAGAATCACGAGAGGGACACAGGGTGCACTGAGAGGGTTCTTCAGACTTCTCGGGACGAGTTTCCTTCCCAAAAGAAAATCAGTGCTTTCTTCCTTTCCCCGAGCAGTGCAGAGGAGGGAAGCAGACTTCCGGTCAGGAGTGCACACCTAACCGTGGGCACTCGAGTGTGGCATGCATTACCCTGAACTTCTCCTATCTGCCCTGGTGGATCAGTTCCAGAGCTGGCCACAGTGCCTGCCATCTCTCATGGCCTTGTGCATTGATTTTGCTGCTCTTCCCTTCAAGAAGCTGATTTCCCATATTTTAAATATTGGGTGGCCTTCTGAGTAGAATTAGTGAACAAAATGTGGCAGAAATAGCATGCCCCGAGTTCCAGCACCTAGGCCTTAAGATGCTACACCACTTGTTTTTATCCTCTAGGAGCCTGAGCCTTCATGGGTGTCCGGTTGCCCCCACAGGCCACTTGAAAAAGGGGAGACCTTAGAGGATAGAAGACCATAAGGACAGGGGACCCAGCCCTCTAGCAGCCAGCTGAGGGGCCAAAAGCAAGCAAGGTCTTGGATCCACCACCCAAATCCACGCCTTCTGAGTGAACCCAGTCCTTATTAAATGGAACATAGGTAAGCCATCCTAGTTGGGCCTGCCCAGGTAATACATAGAATTACAAGAAAATACATAATTATTTAAGATGCAACATTTTGTACTTTTTTTTGTATGTTTTTTTACTGTATGACCAAAATCACAACATCTCCCGGGACTAGTCAATATACTGTTATTAAAAGTTTGAGAAGACAAGGAAATATAAAGAGAAGTCAAAGTTAGAGCTAAGTGAGAATAAGACAAGTGCAATCTGTTTTCCAGAGACAGGGTTCATTGGCTGACTAAGCTGCAAGGATGGTAGTCAGAGTCCCAGGTGCAAGAGTTTGTGAGGGGCAAAAATGAGCCGATAGAAGCTGGGCCTCTTTCTGAGGTGACTTAGGTTGAATTCTCTGAGAAGCAAACGCTGAGAGCTGGGAGTTCAAAAGCTTTACTGGAGTGGGGAGGAAAGACAGGAGAAAGAGGAATTGGGCAGCAAGAACTGTCAGATCACCATGCAGACCTCAGTCTCTGCCAGCCCGACGGGGGAGTTTCAGCTAACTCAGCCCTTTTCTCTTGCATGTGTGTCAGTTTTTGGCTAGAAAAGAATGAGACAACTGCCAGGCATGGTGCTGCATGCCTGTAATCCCAGCATTTGGGAGGCTGAGACAGGCTGAGATCACGGAGTCCAAGGCAGGTCTGAACCACTGTATATAGCAAGGCCCTGTCTCAATAAAAACTGTCAGTTAAGCAGCGTCCTCTGGGCTAGGCAGTCAGTTCTTTCTGGCAGGGGCGTATCAAAAGCAGCAGGTCTCTGTGCTTGGTAAGGGGAATAGTGGGTTTACATAGGTTCTCAAATAGCAACTTATTGGTCCCTAGATTGTATGCACTAAGGCAATTACTATTATTTGAGAATGGTTATTATGAAAACTGAATTCAAGACAACTGTACTCTTCCCCTCTTCAGTGTTGAGTAATGAGGTAGTTGTCACCCTTGGGGTCCTGCAGCATGTTAGAATTTGTTACATTACTACCAAGAGATAAAAAAGTGTCTTTAAATTCTCCCTCCTCCTAAACTTAGCCTAAAAGACAGAGTGTTTTACTTTTGTGCATAAGGAACACTTGGCCTACAAAATAGAGCAAATTCTCAAAAGTTAACTGAATGAATGTAAAATGCCATTTCTTACTTATAGTGGTCATGCTTTTTTTTTTTTTTTTTGAGACAGGGTCTCGCTGTGCAGTTCAGGCTGGCCTTGAGTTCACTTTGTAGCCCCGGCTGGTCTCGAACTTGCAACCATCTTCCTGCCTCAGCCTCCCAAGTGCTGGGATTACAGGCTGTGCCACCACGCCTGGCTAGTGGCCATGCTTTTGAACAGTATCCTCGATGTTTATTTCATGTAGTGTTTTGTAAGCTCCCTTTATTTATGTACTCATTCTAGTAGGTTAGAATTCATTCAATTTCCAAAAGATGATCACATAAAAAGTGACTGAGGCCGGGCGTGGTAGTGCATGCCTGTCATCCCAGCACTTGGGAGGCTGAAGCAGGAGGATTGCTCTGAGTTTAAGGCCAGCCTGGGATATAAAATGAGTTCAAGGCCAGCCTGAACTGCACAGTGAAACCTTGTCTCAAAAAGATAAAAACAAAAACAGTGAGAGAGTAAGAAATGGTGGGGATGAGGATAGGGAGGGATCGGGTCTGCAGCAAGAAAGAAGTTAAAAGTTTGATGCTGGGCATGGTGGCGCACTCGTGTAATGCCAGAGCTCAGAGGCTGAGGCAGGAGGATTGTTGTGAGTTTCAAGACCAGCCTGGGCTACAAAGTGAGCTCAAGGCCATCCTGAACTGCATAGCAAGACCCTGTCTCAAAAAGACAAAAAAAAAAAAAAAAAGAAAAGAAAAGATAAAATATGTAGCTAAAAAGAAGTTATAAGCTTGAAGAATAAATTAAAGGTCAAGAGAAGGAAAGAGGGGGCTGGAAATTTAGCTCAGCAGCACAGCACCTGCCCGGCACATGCAAGGTCGTGAGTTGGATTCCTGGTACCGAGAAGGAAAAAAAAAAAAAAAAAAAAGAGAGAAGGAAAGAGAAAGTAAAATTAAAAAAAAAGAGAGGAGGAAGGAGAGGGAGAAGAAAGGCAGGTAAGTCAACGAAAGGAGAGGACGGGAGAGGAACAAGACAAGTGAATGGAAAGGAGACAGAAAAGGAAGTGGAGCGGTGGGCGGGGTTGGGGAGACAGGCTCAGCGCCGGGCTGCTGAGGAAGCGTCCACTAGCAGAGGCCTCGCTCATAGCTGGCACCGCTATGGGCACTGGCACCTACCGAGAAGGTGAGTCTGGCTTAGTTCCAAGGCATCATCTACGTCTGGGGGCCGGGGGAGGTTAAAGAATGGAAGGGTTAGCAACCCACCTCCTTCCATAGGCTTGAAGGAAAAGATTCAGAAAGCTTGCCAGGTGGCAGAGAGAAAGATGTTTCCTCCCCAGTCAGCTGCTCAAGACTCCCATGTGCTCTGCTCCACCAGTTCCATGTTAAGAGGACCTGTACTACACTGGTGGGGGCAACCAGGACCAAATCTTAGTTCTGTACCTTGAGTTGAGCCCAAGTCAGGTTTATTTACCTCCTTCCCGTCCATGTTCCGGCCAGCCTTACATCATGAGTCTCCACATAGCAGGAAGCACCGTCCCGTAGCACCAGCTGTCTCTGCCAACCTGGCTTCTTAATCCAATTTTGCTACTAATCGGCTGAGTGACTTAGGGAAAGTCATCTTACTGGTTCCACCCCATTAGCAGTAAGATACTGATTTACCATTTCACAAAGAAAAAAGTCTCAAGAATTTAGGAAATTTAATTCTTTGGAGGCGCGGGTGAGCGCCAAGGACTGAATTCAGGGCCTCAGACGTGCCAAGCAGGCCTTCTCTCTGAACTACACTCTCAGCTCTGGAAATTTTTATTTTATTCCTTAGCTCTTTTTTTAAAATTTTGAGACAGGATCTTGCTAAGTTGCCTAGGCTGGACTCAAACTTGTGATCCTCCTGCCTCAGCTTTCAGAGTGCTGATTGCAGGTGTGTGCCACCATGCCTGGCTAAAATTTCATCCTTTAGGAAAACAAGCTCTTAAGGGACGAACTTGAACCTTACCAGGCTGTGGAGAGTAAAAGTGAAAATTAAAAGCTTCACCCCCTCCCTCGTCGGCTTTCTCTGCCTTTTTTTCTTTTGTGGCGCTGAGGAGCAAACCCAGAGCTTCAATGGGACACAACGTACTGCTGGCCTGCACCCTCCGGCTCCTCCACCTTTTGGGTTGGGGGGGCACTAGGGATTGAGTCCAGACTTCACACTGAGGTATAATCTCCACATCCCCAGACTTTTTTGTCTTGCTAAATTGCCCAGGTGGGGAAACTTGTAATCCTCCTGCCTCAGCCTCTTAAGAGTGCTGGGTTTACTTAGGGGCATGTACCACCATACCTAGCTTCCTTTTTTTTGCGGGGAGGGCGTGTACCAGGAATCAAACTCATAACCTTGTGCTTGCCAGGGAGGCACTGGGCCACTGAGCTACTTCCCCGGCCCTTCCTCTGCATTCTTAATGTTAAGAATTCTCCCTCATCTTCTAGGTAAAATTCTCAGAATTGAATTTTTCCCCTTTCTGATCCCAAGGATCATGGGATTTTAAAAACCTGGGTTATACAGACTCACTGCATCTGCAGGCTGTCCTAGGGTTTGGAAAAGACTGGTCAGCAGCCCCCAACCTCCAAACCAAACTGTACTAAACCAACAAACAGAAAAGCCTGGTGGTGGAAGGTCCCGGGCAAAGCGGAAACCTCGAAAATGACTGCACACAGTGGGCAAATCCCTACCTTTGAAGAACATAAACTCCACAGGAAAAACAACTTTCCATGGGGAAATGATGTTCACTAGAGGTTGTTTTAGGACAAAACTGAATAAATTAAACTTTTCAACACCATATGTTCAGCTTTGGCAGGAGATGTAGGTGGGAAGGGAATCTCCATGTTAGGGAATGCCTGTATCACACCCCAGCTGGCTACTTAAAATATGAAATAAAACACACACACACACAAATATTTGGCCAAAACACCTTTAATGATGGGGGAGGACACTAGTATCTCCTGTCTGGTCTTGGCATTTCACTATGTTAGTAAGAGCTGGAGCCCACTACTGTACTTTGGAGGAGAAGCCATCATTCACGTCAGCATCAATCAACAGCAAAACCCTCACTTTCTCCTCTCAGGGCTCCAGTTCCGAAGGGTCCTATGTTAACAGTAAGCACTACATCTCACTACAAGACAGGGAGGCAGGGAGGGGCACCTGGAGCTTCTCTCTCCCCATGTCTGGGAACCTAAGAACCAGACAGAGGCAAAGACAAAATCCTCGGTCCTTGATCAGTCAAAAGGGGAGGAAAGGGACCTTAAGAGAGAAAGGTAAGGAAAATACAAAGGGTCAGGGAATAAAAGAGGGAGTTTATCTAAAACTAGAAGCACACTAGTGCTAGGCAATCTCCCACGACCCCGGTGCACTGCCGTACACCACGTCACTATTAGCCCGAAAGAACATTGACGAGAATTCCACATCCCTCCTCTTGTATCAGTGCCCATTTTTCCACCACAGATTCCCAGCACGCCCTATGTTTCAGCAACATTTTTCCACTCTGTCATTACCTCCTCTACCACCTTCACCAGCAGAGCTCATTTGAGATGTGAACTAACTTCACATTTCCCAAAATAGGAGGTCTCTTGGCAAGAAGTCTGCTGGTTTACCCGTGCTGAGAAGCAGTGATGAATGAGAGCCTGGAGAAGCCCTGGCGCACCCATCAGTCAGCGTGGAGGCCTTCATGTGACTACCAACGCAGGTGCTGAAATGTGTGCTGCATTTCTCCCTACCGCCCTCGGTCTGGACACAACTACTGGAAGGGCTTCATCGGCACCTTCTGGAGCAGGACGTGGAGGAAGGATGTGTGCTTTATAGCTTCTCTTCCACCTCACCGCTTCCAGCCGAAATAGGAGGGGCTGTCTTCCCCTTGCCTCTCTCGAGGAGTGTTGCAGCCGCCTTCCCCGCCACAGTTGCAGACCGCACAGCACTGGGAGCTGGGAGCGCCAAGCCCGAAATGGCAGTGGAGGGGAGGCTGGGGCTCCGGGCGTAGCATACAGGTCACGCTGACGAGAAAGCCCTGTACTGTTGCAGAACGGTAGGGCAGGAAGGTCCTGGGACACGAGGTCCTGCACTGTGAACTGGTCACCAGTGAGAGTGGCACTTGGCCCTCTGGAGACAGCTGCCAGTCCCTTTGGGCTGGGCTGTGGGTCCGATGATGGGTGCTCAGGTGCACCTGCCAAAGGGAGAGGAAGAGAAGCAGAGGGCTCCCCTCGAGAATGTAAAAGCTGTAGAGGATCTACTCTCTTCAGGTAGAAAGAATAAAGAAAGGAGAATTCCTCAGGGGGCCATCCCCAGGTAAGCACAGTTTCCAAGCTAAGGGACTGGGGGAAAGCCGCAAGAGACGTATCATGTAAGAACTCGGAGAAACAGACAAGTAAGGGCTCATCAATCTTGGAGGTCTTTCTATGGAGCTTGCAGCTTCTGCTCCCCGGGTCAAAGGGTAGCCGGTACAGAAAACACTCACGGGATGGCAGGATCGTCTTTTCGAGGGAAGGGGGAGAGCCCTGGGGAAGGGATGGACGGTGAACAGCCAGGGACCAAGGAAAGAGCAGCAATATTCTGAGGGCCGTGGGGAGCAAAGGGCTGTACCTGGTGATGAGCCAGCAGCATGTGCTTCTTGAGAGTAGCCCTCTCCAGGAAGCCCTGCCTGCAAAACACACAGGTGAAGAGTGGCCCCTCCTTGGCGTGGGTCTTCTGGTGCTCCTCCAGAGCCGTCTGGCTGGGAAAGGCCTGGCCACACGCCTCACAGGCCTTTCTGCCACCGCTCTCTCCGGGCTCCCTCCTCATGGCTTCCTGCAGGCTCAGCTCCTCCCCCAAAGGGGTGCTGGTGCCTCCCGCTTCCGGGCTGAGGGCCGCGGTGGGCCGTGGGCTTGAGCTCCTCTCCGGTCTGCGTCCCTCCTCCGGGCCTCCTGGAACATCACTGCTCCCCTGCTCCACGGGCTGGGCTTGCTCCAGACTGTCCGCTGGGGGTGGAGGCGGTGGCAGGGAGGGCTGCTGCGCTGCTTTCTCGTTACTGTCCATCTCCTTCCCGGTGGCCGCCGCCGCCTCCTCCTCCGCCCCAGAGGCCTCTTCCGAGTCACCGCGAACTGATATCGCCTTCTCGCCTCCGCTCTCCGAGCCTCTTCCCGCCAGGGAATCTTCGTCGGTCACATCCTCCTCCTCTTCCTCCTCCTCGTCCTCTTCCTCAGACAGCTCTTCTGGGGATGGCTGCTGCGAGGGCTGCTGGGGGAAGCTCCCTGCCGCGGAGACCGCACACTGCTCAGAGCCATTCTCCGGGGCAGCTCCTCCTCCCTCAGCGACCGCAGCAGCGCCGTTGGGGATCTGGCCTCCCAGATGCATGCGCACATGCTGCTGCAGAGTGACAGCGTTGGTGAACTTCTTCTGGCAGATGGGGCAGGAGTTCTGCGCCCGGGCAGCTGGACTTGCCTTGTGGCCCACGAAATGTGCTCGCAGGTTGCCCCGGGTGGAGAAGGCTCTGCCACACACTTTGCATTTGAAGGGTCGCTCTCCTCCGTGTTGACCATAATGCAGGCGGAGGGCCCGAGGACAGCTCAGCACCCGCAGGCAGATGACACACTGGTTGGGTCCAGAAGAGGTCGAGGAAGAAGGCGCAGGGGCAGAGGTGGTGGGGGCGGCAGCAGCGGTAGAAGCCACTGCCACAGCTCCCTGTCGGTCAATCTTCTCTACCAGCTGCTGGAGCTTTGATGTCTCCGAGGGAGAGGCCCCCAAGGGCTCTAGCACATAGGGGAAGGGGAAGCTGCCAGTGGACTTGAAGTGGTTGGTGAGCAGTGCCCAGCTGGGCAGCGAAGTCACCAGCTTACTCAGCTGCATTCGGGTTGCTGTGCCACTTTCTGCCACCCCGCTGATAGCCGAGCCCTCATTTCCCGGGGGCGTGTTTTCATCAGCCTTATTCTTGGGTTCTACGGCTTTCATGAGCACGAACTTATTGAAAGCAGGGAGCCCCGGAGCCGTGACTGTGCCCGCACCGGTGGAGAGCAGTGTGAGGCTCTCTGTGGCACTGAGGGCTGTGGTGGAGGCCGCCAGAGGCTTGCGTTCCACACCCCCGCCCGGTGCGGCTCCCTCCTCTTCGGCCTTCTCCGGGGGCACAGACATACCATAGGGCAGGCCGCTGCTGGTGATGACATAGTCTAGGTGCTCCGGCACTGGGTGTGGGTTCATCTGCACGTGCGGGTACTTCTCTCTATGGCGGTGGAAGTGCACTTTGAGGTTGCCTCGGGTGGTGAAGCGGTTCCCACAGACATTGCACTTGTAGGGCCTCTCACCCGTATGGGAACGAAGGTGGATCTGCAGGGCGCTGTCACTGCCAAACACTTTGGCGCAGAAGCGGCATTTGTGCCTTCCGCCAGGCTTCTCCAAGGGACCCATCACTTCCCCATAGCCCAGCTCGCCACTTCCGTTCTTTGGCTTCAGGAGCCCAGGGGAGGCAGTGGCCTCCAGGCCGCGGGCTGTCCCGAGGCATTGTGCTGCCAACAGTCCTGTGCTGCCTGGGAATGCCAGATGAGGCGAGGCCATCAGCTGATCTGTGCTGCCTGTCAGGGCTGAGGAGGGCGTGGGGGCAGGTTTGTGGCTTCGCGCAACCCCTCCAGCAGAGAAGGGATGCTGTGAGCCCAGCGGGTGGTACAGGTGGAAGAAAGCCTGCTTTGGCGTTTCTGCCGCTGAGGAGGAGGAGGAGGAAGAGGAAGGTGCCAGTGTCTTGCCAGTTTGCACAGGCTTGATAGGGCTGAAAAGGGGCAGCAGGGGCTTGGTGGAGGAGGCAGTCCCCGTGCCCGGCAGCTCTGAGGGACTCGCAGGGGCACCCACGGTTTGGCCCAGGGAACCCAGCAGCAGCACCTGCCGGCAGATCTGCTCAGTCATTTGCATTTGATGGATCTGGCGCTGCTGCAACACCCGCAGCTCTTCCAAGATCAGAGGGATGTTCAAGTGGCCGCTGCCTACTCCTGGGGGCGGAGGCGGAGGCGGTGGAGGGGGAGGTGCGGGGGTAGATTCTGGAGGTAACGGGGTTGCTCCCAGCTTGGGACTGGCCAAGATCAGGCCGCCGCCTCCCCCAGCCGCTGTACCTGTAGCAGCGACTAGGAAATGCCCGGCAGATTCCTCTCCTCTCCGCTCTTGGCCCCAGGCGGGATCCATGGGCCCCGAGGACCCGGCATCTGGGGGGTTGCTGTGCTCTACATCCATGACCTGAGGGCTACTGTGACCCTCAGGCCGGGGTTCAGAGGCGGCAGAAGAGTTGTTGGGGTTCTCCTGGCCCCCAATAATCACCATTACAGGAGGGTCAGTAGAGCATGCGTTCTGGTGGGCGAGGAATTCAGCTGGGTCAGTGAACTGCGCGCAGCATTTGGCACAGACTTGGGGGCGGTCACCCTCGCCAGCATCACCTGAGGAAAAGAGAGAGAGCGTGGGTGTGCGGTTGCGCGCGGCAGCAGAGCTCTAACGGTAGCCCAGTAACCGCCAGCCCGGGACGGAGACAGCTCACCACCAGGCCACGCACAAGGCCGGAGCGCGCCCGACCCGAGAGGACGCGAGACCCCCGCGCCCGCCCGCGCCGCCCTGCGTCCCTCGCCCTCC